TCAAGCCTCTTAATAAATGTATGGCTTTCATAGTCGACCTACCCGGCATGAATCCAAATTGATTTTGAGAAACATTAGTATCACGCCGCAACCTATGCTCCATAACTCGCTCCCATAGTTTTAAAGTATGACACATTAACTTAATACCTCTATAATTCGCACAATCTTGTGCATTCCTTTATTCTTAAAAATATGAATTAACACACTCATTCTCCACTCATCTGACATCTTCTTAGTCTTCAAAATAGTATTAAAAAGTTTAGTAAGCCATGAAATTCCTTCATCTCCTAAGCATTTCCACACATCTATTGGAATATCATCAGGTCCAACAGCTTTTCCACCCCTTCATTTTCTTTAAAGCCTCTCTAACTTCAGTTTTACTAATACGCCGATAAAAACATAAATCATTATTTTCATTTAGGGTGCTAAGGTCACTATAGTCAATCTTATTTTCACAATCTTCATTAAAAAGTTTAGCAAAATATCACATCCATCTTTGTTGAATATCATCTTCTAATAAAAGTATTTTTTGATCTTCATCTTTAATACACTTCACTTGAACTAAATCCTTACTACTCCTACCTCTTTGTTTGGCTAACTTCTACATATATATTTCTCCCTCTTTAATATCTAATCTATTATATAAATCACTAAAAGCTAATGCCTTTGCATCGCATAGAAGTTTGTGACAAGTTATTAAAAATGACAAGTTATTAAAAATGAAAAGTTTATAAATTAATGATAATTAACTCATGGTCTATTGATCATATATAATATATAAATGATAATGCAGGGAGAATAAATTTTATCAGTAATTTAATAAATTAAATACAATGGTTATCTAGGTATATGTAATAATGAATTATAGAGCATATAATTAAAAATATATGAGCAATTTATAACTTAAATTTTAACGAATATGTTTTTCATATAGGTGCTAAATCTATCAATGTGGGAGCAAGGAGAGAGAAAAGTATCTCACTACCTAAGTTCAAGGTGAGTACTCATGTTTTAATTTACAGTAATGATAATTGTTTCTCCTGCACATGATGCATCAAGTATTGTTATTATTTAAATTCTTATTGTTACTATTCGATGATATTTCATCATTAAAGGCAATTGATCATGTTGAACTAGAAGACTTGAATTTCTATCAAGTGATATCATTTATCATATCTCATGATGTTTATTATATACGTCAATATGAAATGATATGGAGAAGGTAAGTGATATAATTTATGTAGAATGCTTGCATGTGCATGTTGACTGATGGAGCACAACTCTTTATGGTACTGGTTGGGGACGTAATGTACCCGTGCACGTAAATGAAAAATGTTATGAAAAAGCAAAAGGAAATGGAAAATGAGTACCTTCATTGATACTATTTTAAATGATGGCTCCTATGACAGTTATATTATTTACGAGAAATGATAAATACATTGATAAAGATATAGATACATGTATGGCATGTATAACATTGATGGTCATGTTTGAAATGAATTTAAATGAAATTATTTTATTTTTTGAAATGATCATGCATATTGTTCACAATGCCTTGGGTTACTATAAATTAGATGTATGATTTACTCATCGACTTCTTTTATGACTCAATCTTAAATTTATAAAAGAACATGTATTATTCATAGTTAAAATGAGTAGAAGAGAAGATATGGTTTATCGTAGGCGCAACACACCATAAGAAATGTATTTATAATATATAACTCTGTTTTAAATTTTGAGATTTTTCGTAGCTCTTTTAGCTTATTGAGATAGTTTTAGATTAAATGAAAATTTAATTAAATGTCCGAGCGTTTGTTCCTGCCTCGTTAATTCGAGTCTCCGGGCTGGGTCGTGATAGTTTACCAGAAGGATTTCTTCACCTCTCATTTGTTATTGTTTCTTTTTACACATTGTAATGGCTCAAAGCCTTTACCGGTGGGCATATTGGCCTCTAGTTGAGGCGACTGCTCCTGGATTGCGTAAGATATCTCCTAATCATTAGCTCAAGAGCGAGCATTGGCATTTCTTCTGGCCTTTCGGGAGATCTAGTGCCATAGGTGGAAGCTTCAGCAACATTATTGCCAAGAGTAAAGGTAGACTCCTTGAGAGTCATGCCTTCATTCATACGTTGCTTAGTCGAACCAATTATAACCGACTTCAACTTAGGTTCGCATGTCTTTCATTTAGTGATCAGATTCACAGATGGTGCCACTTAGAGTCTTGAAAACACAGAGACTCTTTTGATAGCCTTTGTATTCACAATAGTATCAATTCTGTTGGCAGATGAGTGCCTCCTTGGCACCCTCGGAACTATATTCTAGTCAACATTGACATATTATCATTGGTTGGGAGGGACTTCATAATTTCAAAAATATTTCTAAGTTGCAGGGTGGCGCCGGCGTGGTCAGTGTTAATGATAGTTTAGGGGAATTGTACCCTGAATCCCTCTCCAAGTTTCACAGTTATTATGGTATTGAAAAATGTCATTTTCAACGACTATTTCAAACAACAGAGATTAATTGGCGTGGGAGTTAGTTTAGCTAATTGAATGGGTAGAGCTCAATGTCATTCAAACCTAGAGGGAGGCGGATTGGGCTGCCTGTTGTCATTCAGATATAGAGGGAGGCGGAGGCACTCTTCATGTGTGGAGCAAGCTGGCTTCCACATGGGGTCGAAATCGTGCTCAGATCTAAGGTCGAGAGTGGGAGAGGGCGTGCGCGCCTGGTCGCTAGTAAGGCGTAGGGCATGGAGGCGGGAGTGGTTGTCGACGGGTTTGGTATCATCGAAGGCTTAAGCTGCGGGGTCGTTCGTGAGCGGAACAGACAAACCGAACAGGGGCAATCCATTTACAGATCTGTTAGCATGTACTTGAGCGAACAAAGATGAGGTTCGTTGGCAAGTCAGATGACCGGCTTCTAACGAGATCTCCAGATCGAGAGAGAGCAAGTGAGGATATCTTCCCTATTTCATTTCTTCGTTCTTTTACATGAATTGAGGTGGTGGTTATGTCGCGAACGTGGAGGCGAGACGACGTGCAATTTTAGTTTTGCATATGTGGGTATTGGGCAATTGCGAGTGGGGCCGATCGACAGTTTACAAGTGAACAAGAGAGAGCAGTTCGTGCGAATTTGGAAGAAGAGTTGCATGTGAGCAATCAAAGGAGGAAAAAGGACTTATTCGGTTGTTTAGCAACTACGACCTGATTATTGGATTTAAAAATTGAGAGAAGCAGCTTGTTCAACAAGGTAGGAAGACGACAACCTTGTGCAACTTTGATCCAGTTGCTGGAACCAAATGTCAGAGAGGAAGCAGAGGAAGTCAGACCATTCGATGAAGTTGGAACCTAGAAAAGAAAGAGACAAGTTCATGGGACTTATTAGTTGGAATCTGAGGCATTGATGAGTTCATGGCTATTATTTGTTGGAGTCGAGACTAGGGAAGAAGACGAAACGTGGTGCAATATGCAATCTAGATCGATGGAGATGGGAATAGAGGGTTCCTATTTGGTGTAGAAAAGAAGATATTTATGATTTCAATTTGATTGAACTAATATGTGTCATTATGTTTGATAGCAAAAACAAGAAGATGATGGATCGAACTATTCAATCATGCTTGATGAGAAGAATGAATCATTGAAGGTAATAATGGAAATTCTTTTAAATATCATTTCCTCCTTTATAACAGAAAAGAATATAAAATGTAATAAAAAAATGCAATTAAATAATTAGTTCACCATTGACACTATCTTTAACAATGTTCAAAGCTTTTGATGTTGCCTTTGATGACGTTCAATAGTTCTGCAATATCTTTGACGCGGTTTAACATCTCTGGTGCTTATTTGGACAATGAAAGAACTGAGCAAAGTAGTTAGGCAAGTACATTGAAGAAAAGCAAGATTGTTCCTAAAATTTTAGATTTAAATTTGTTATTGTTAATTTGATTAGAAAATATGATGTAAATATATTTCTAAATTAGTTATGTAAATTGACTTAATCATATATCTGACGTTTAGATTGTGAATTAAGGAAGAACCGACCAAGAATCAAAGAAACATTGAAGTGGGTGAATTGAAATTAAAAAAAAAAATAAGGTGGGTGATTAAACTTTTATTTTATAGCAATCACAGTTTTCTTCATGATTCAATGCATAACCTATATGGCACCTTATATGTATACTTCTTAATATTTGTAATACTATTTTTCATTAAAGGACGAATCAAATGACTTTATTAGAGTGTAATACATATTAAACATGAAATCATCCAATTTAAAATGAAAAGGGTCAAATGACTTTATTAGAGTGTAATACATATTAAACATGAAATCATCCAATTTAAAATGAAAAGGGTCTCCTCTCTAGTTTTTTAATCTCAAAAAAAAAAAAAAAAAAAACTGCGATTTATCTCCTACGAACTAACTCAATGTTCATTGTGAATTAGCTAAACAATTAATGATGTAAGTATCCCTTATAAGATCAATCTTGCTATCCCAAACCTTCAAAAAAATTAGATAACTCCTTTGCATCTACTACCTCTATCAACACTTATGCCCTTATTAAAGTAAGAATATATAAAACTCATCTTAAATGCATAGCCAAAACTCATGAAATGCTCCAATAATTGACCACATATTACGAGTAAGCAAATCCTAAATGCAAAAAATACAAGAGATTGTTGGATTCTCAAACCTGTCCAATGAGAGGGAAGTAAAGCTGAGCAATGTACAATCTATCCTCACACTTTTGGTAACGCAAATCAAATTCGTGCTTGCACATGAGGAATACCAAAATCCGAGCTGCCTAAACACATCAAAAGGTTAGCTATAGATCTTGCATGGGAAAAGACGGAAAAAACTCAAATTAATAGCATAAACGGATCACTAGATAAGCAAGCACAAATTGAAATGTTTAAAGCAATAAAACTGGAGGATTTCAAAAGAAAATTGCAACTGATTCACTATAGAACCCACTTTTGCTCTTTGCGATAAGTCTTCATGATCCAAAGTGAGGAAAGCTTCTTGAATTAGGAGTGATGCAAGGTAATTTCTGCAGATAAAAAAATAAATATGAGAATCCTCTCAATTAAAATTTTGCAGAATTATTGAGGCACAACACCTAAATTGGGGCAAATTACAAACACAAGCTGATTTCCAAGAAATGTAGGGATGCATTGACTGGATTTGGAAATCAACTTCTGTAGAGGACATGGTAATCATCCAACACAACATTCAAGATCGATTATATGGAAAGAGTAGCGTCTTCCTCAGCAATTTGTTGCTTCACGTTTTGCTCAACAAAGTGTAATGATATATTTTGAAATAGAAACTCCATAGACAAATTTTACAAAGCTACAACCAGCAAAAACATTGTTAGGTTGTTCTTTCTAAAACTGTCAAGTCCATGAGCTTTCCATTCAGGGATTTGAAACCATCACATAAGTTATTTGCAAAACACTCGCAGATAACGGAAGAATGTTCATGATGTAGAGAACAAAGAAAAATTAGAGTTGAAATTGCTAGTCAAGTCACATGATGGTATAAAATGGAACTTGAAAACCATGATGCACAGGGAAACTCGATAATCGAGAACATGATTAAAGCTATCTAAAAAAGAGAGATCCCAAGAAGACTCACCGGTTGCAAAGAATAATTTAGGAGCACACAGAAATGCGAGAGAGGGAGGGGGGAGAGAGAGAGAGAGAGAGAGAGAGAGAGAGAGGGTGGGAAGGAGGGAGAGAAAGAGACAGAAAATAAATACCAAATTTCAAGAGAAAAGAAGATACTGACAGACAAGAAAAACAAGTAGCCCTCAGCAATATACACATTGCAATATTCCATCTCAAAGAACTATGAAACATATATTACTCATACACAGAAAAAAAGATATATTTATCAAAAATATAAGTAAAAAAGAACCGCTAGCCATACAACTGTATGGAGGGAAAAATAATGGTGTCCGCATAATCATCTTTCTTTTGTTCCAAACAATAATATAAGAACTGCTAACCATAAAACTAAATAGTTTTGAGAAACCATAATGCAACAACTCAACAAATCTACAACTCATCTTAATTTTTTAGTCGAGAGCTTTGATTACCATCTAAGAGGTTTTTGGTTCAAAACTTGCGTATGTGATATTTGTGTAAGTTTGACTTAATTGGCCCAAACATTTAAAAAAAAAACTCAATGAATCTACAACTCTTCTTAGAATACAGAGCTCACTGTGTCTACAATTATTATAAGACTACAGAAATTCAAAAAGAGTCAGTGATTGCCAAAGAAGCATTTTTCACTGATATGAGATGACATTTTAATATTAACTGCATTATACCTATCAGAAGGATCTTTTCCAGGCATTTCAACAAATAGATCATGATCACAAATTATCTGTAAGAAAGTCAGTTTGCAATCATGTAGCACAGATTGACAGACCCCAGCAAATTTGTCCATATATAAAGATACCTGTAAAAGTCAAAATTTTTAACATAAAACAAAACTATTATAATAAAAATCAAGCCACCTAACTTGGATTAGTGTAACAGCACAATAAAAACCAAATCAAGAATTGAAATAAACATTTTTTGCAAGAAAAATAATCACGCAGATAGAGAGAGAGTTAGATTCTCTACATCTTAGGATGCATGAACACCAGTTCGCAATCAATAAAAAACAAAACAACCACAATGCCTTGTCCGGTTGAAAAGTTTCAACTATTTGTGGTCTTGCTTTACAATTTCCATGCTTCCTCCAAAAAGAGAAACGTGTTTGTACAACAGACGGCCTATTATAGTGAAGGAAGTTCCATACCAATGGTGAAGCGGGGAATCTGGAAATACTGATGGGATCATGAAAGTGCAAAACAAAGATGGTCATCCTAGGAAGAGAATATATTGGATGCAAGAGTTAGTGACAAGCAATTGCAGGCAATCAAAAAATTTAATTCCAGAAACAAGAAGAAATTAGAAAAATGATTGGCGACAATAACAAAGGACAGTCGGACAATTCCTGATCCAACGAGACAAGAAAATGACAATGGATCAATAGTGGGCAGTAAAAGTCGATCAAAGTCATGTCCGTGGAAAGAGGGAGAACTAGACGGTTGGTAGAGGATGTCAAAAGTCAGGAAAGGCAAATCAGGATGACCGATTAGCAGAGAAAAACAAAAGTTAACGAAGCAAGCAAGCAACAAAGATAAGGAGAACATCAAGGTCGCTTGGTCTTCAAAAACAAATTAGAACTCTAGAGCTTTAAATGACTTTTAAAGTTTAAAATGTTCTACAGGAGCAAAAATAAGGTTTTTTTTTTAGATTTTTATGCTGTGTATAATGAAATATCATCTATTCTTATCAATAATGAACGTATCAGATACAACCATCAACTGATCAGGAGGCGATTAACAATCTTGACCAAGAGCTGACCCAATTGACTCACCCGGCCATAGCTAAGCCATGCGACCAAGTAAAGGTGATATGGTAGTAGTGCGATGACAGACATCGATGGCAAAATCTCTATTCAGCAAACAAATTTTCTCATTTAAAAGCTCTCAATACTGTGAGTCCAATGAAGTCGATGGGTTACAATTTCAATGGTCAATTTAAATTGAACAATTTTGAGGACCTCAATTGATCTAAATTATGACCATGAAAAAAAACAATGACAATATAAAATTTTGTATAGACATGCTCCATTCCTTGAGAACAACTAAATGCATCTAACAGCTCATAAAATGAATTTGTAGGAGCCATAAAAATTCCAAGAAGGCATATGAATCAAATTCAGTACGACAAAAAAGACTAATAGGCCACAATTTTGTGCTAAAAAATTCATTTTTCGAAAGTAATCCAATAATACAAATGGCTCCCAATTCATAGGCTTATAAAGGAAACAATAAATCCAAGAGATTAAGATCAATACACACAAAATGAAGCTAACCAAACCGACCCGAGCTAACCCAACAACACCCAAACTTGCCGCACCCTAGGTCCTCATGCGATACGTCCCTATTGCTTGATTCCATCCGCTTTAATATCACACCTCTATGAGCAATTTAAGGAGATGATAGCTAGGACATAAAGTATGCACACACTTGCTCTCCCCCTTGCAACTTCCAGAAGTCATCCTCTACAACTAAGAGCTTGAAATCTGCTGCCTCTTCTCCTCTAGTGATTCTTCTTGAGCCACAAGCCCAACTCTTGCTTGCTTTACTTCAAGTGCTCTTTCCTTCAACAGAGAAAAAGCAACAACCCATCTACTTTTGTTACTTTTAACAATTGTCAAGATTTAAAAGGATGAAGTTATGAATGGAGGCATTTCCTTAACAGGATGAGAAACAGCGTAAACAATAAGAACAACAACATCAAGCCTTTATCCCACTACGTGGGGTCGGCTACATGAATCTTTTTTTTTTTCCATTGTCCAGTTAAGAGTCATATTCTCATTTAAATCTAATAAAGAAAGTCATTTCTAATATTTTCTATCCAAGCCTTTTAAGGTCTATCACTACCTTTCTTAACATAGTCAAATATAATATATCTACTCTCCTAACCAGGTCATCCTAAGGTCGTCATTTTATGTGACCAAACCATCTAAGGTGACTCCCTCTAATCTTATCTTCCACTGGAGCTAATCCAACCTTTTTCATGTATATGCTCGTTTTGAATCCTATCTCTAAGAGTAAAGCTACTCATTCACCAGAGCATCCTCATCTCTGCAACACTTAACTTAATATTACGCATCTTTTTTTAATGACCAACATTCTACACCATAAAATATTGCAGGTCTCACCACCATTTGATAGAATTTTCCGTTAAGTTTGAGGAAAAATTTTTTATCAAACAACAAGCTCGATGCATTCATCCACTTCAACAATCCAACTTGAATTCTAAAAATAATATTCTCATCTATTTCACCATCGCTTTGAACAATAAACCCAAGATATCTAAAAAGTGTAATCTTATTAATGACTTGATCGCCCAAAGTCACAATCATCCCACTAGATCTATTACTACTAAAAGTACACTCCATATATTCAATTTTTGATCTACTCCAACGAAAACCTTTAGACTTTAAGGTTAGCCTCCATAATTCGTGTTTACCTTCAACTCTCTCTATTCTTATCAACAAGAAGAATATCATCGGCAAAAAGCATACACTATGGTACAACCTCTTGCAAATGTCTAGTGAGAACATCCATGACTAAAGCAAAAAGATATGAGTTTATGGCTGATCCTTGATGCCATCCAATAGAAATAGGAAAATAATTGATCAAACCACCTTGCGTCTGGACATAAGTAACAGCTCCTGCATACATATTCTTAATGACTTGAATATAAGCATTATTAACCCTTTCTTTTCTAGAACTCTCTATAGAACTTCTTGGAACTTTATCATATGTTTTCTCTAAATCAATAAATATCATATGTAGATCCTCTTATTCTCTGGATACTTCTCCATCAAACCTCTCAATAAATGTATATCTTCCATAGTAGCGCTACCCAGCATGAATCCAAATTGATTTTGAGAAACATTAGTATCAACTCATAACCTATGCTCCATAACTCTCTCCCATATTTTTAAAGAATGACACATTAACTTAATTACTCTATAAATTGCACAATCTTGTGCATCACCTTTATGCTTAAAAATAAGAATCAAAATATTCATTCTCCAATCATCTAGCATCCTTTAGTCTTCAAAATAATATTAAAAAGTTCAGTAAGCCAAGAAATTCCTACATCTCCTAAGCATTTCCAAACCTCTATTGGAATATCATCATGTCCAACAGCTTTTTCACACATCCCTCTAACTTTGGTTTTACTAATACACCGATAAAAACAAAAATCTCTATTTTCATTTAAAATGCTAAGGTCACTAAAGCCAATCATATTCTCACAATCTTCACAGAAAAGCTTATCAAAATATCTCATCCATCTTTATTGAATATCCTCTTCTAATAAAAGCACTTCTTGATCTTCATCCTTAAAGCACTTCACATGAATTAAATCCTTATTTATCCTATCTCTTTGTTTGGCTAACTTATACATACATATTTCACCATCCTTAGTACCTAATCTATTATATAAATCATTAAAAGATAAATTATATGCATCATATATTAATTTCTTAAACTTCTTACGGCCGTTCTTAAACAAATTTTTATACGAAAGATTCTTATTATTTATCTTTTTATGCATATTTTGATTCCAACACCAATTATTTGTACTATTAGGAGCTTTTACTTGATACTTCAAGTCTATCATTTGCAACATTCTCACATGAATTAAATCATTACTTCTCCCATCTCTTTGTTTAGCTAAGTTATACATACATCATTAACCCCTCTTAATATCTAATCTATTCTAAATCATTAAAAGATAAATTATTTACATCACATATTACTTTTTTAGACTTTAAACAGGCTTTCTTAAATCAATTTTTATAACAAAGATTTTTATTTTTATTTTTTCTTGCATATTTTAATTCCACCACCAACTATCTTTACTATTTGAAGTTTTTTCTTTTGATACTCTAAGTACATCTTTTACAACATTCTTAATATCACTAGCTACTTTTTCCACATAACATTAATTCCCTCATGTACAATCAAAATCTTCAGCTCTTGAATCTTGCTCTAAAAAATATTTTTGTTAGTATTATTTAAATGCCCCCATTTATAACAACATTTTATTTTATGTTTCATTTTTCGCCCCTTCATTTTTAAGTCCAAAATTAATAAGCGAAGCTGGGTATATAAACTTTCACTAGGAATAATTTTACAATCTTTGCAATCTAAACGATCTATTTTTCTTATAAGAAAATAATCGACCTGAGTTTTACAATATCCATTCTATTAAATGAGGAGATGCTTGTCTCTTTTCTTAAATAAAGTGTTAGCAATTATAAAATTATAAGCTAGAGAAAAAAATCTAATATAACCTTAGCATCTTCATTAGTAACTCCAAACCTATAACAATCTTAAATGCTTTTAAAATCTTCTACCTCTCTACCAACATATCCATTTAAATCTACTCTATATTAATTCTTCTAATTAAATCCAAATTTTAATTTTGAACATAAATTCAAAACTACTTGAGGAGCATAAACACTTACAATATTAATAATCTTAGCATCAACAAAAATCTTTAAAACTATAATTCTATCTCCAATTCTATTAATTTGTATCATATTATCCTTCAAATTCTTATCAATAATCACACCTACCCCATTTCTAGTATAGCTCTTACCTGAATATTATAGTTTAAACCCTAAACTATCAATCTCATTAACTTTCTCTCCAACCTATCTTGGTTTCTCTAATGCATAAAATATTTATCTTCATATGAATCATAGTATATATTAATTTCATTAATTTACTTGCAAGAAAACCTATATTCAAAATTCATATCCTAATTCTATTTTCATGGACTAGCTTCTTTACCCACATCCGTCCACGATATGGGAAACTTTAATTATTTAACATTGTACTCGGGCGCCGGCACAACAACCATTGCACACTTCTCACTATATTCAGATTATACAATGTGTTAATTCGAAGGAACGCCTAAGCATTAACACAATTTATTAAAGGATTCATGTCATAAAATTTTAGTGCAAATTTATAAAATTTTGTATGTCACCTTAGGTATTGCATTAAAGAAGATCATATCAAAGCTAGAGCATTCAGAAGGAATTCAATCACACAAAAATAGTTTGTTATGTATTTTATATTATTGAAAGAACGGTACTAACCGTCCGACCATCTATTCCACCTCGTTAATTTGAATAGTTGGGCTAGATCATGACAAACTTATCATACGATGATTAAACAATCTTGTCCCAGAGCAGCTAACTAATGGTGGTCTAGTGGTGGAGGGACGATAGTCATCGATGGCATAATTTTTGTTCAATAAATGAATTATATCATTTCAAAGCTCTCGACACCATGAGTCCAATAAAGTTGACGAGTTAAAATTTCAATGGTCTGTTTGAATTGTACAATTTTGAGGAGCTTAAGTGATCCAAATTAGTGTCCATGAAGAACTAAAATGATAATATAATTTTTTTACAGAAATGCTCCATTCCTTGAGAACAACTAAACGCATCTAACAGCTCAGAAAATGGAATTTTATGAGTCATAAAAATTCCAAGAAGGCATATGAATCAAATTTAGGTTGACAAATAAATAAAAAAATAGCCACCATTTTTGTGCTGATAATTCTTTTTTGAAAACCTTCCCAGTTGAGAGCCGACTATAGATATCTAAAAAAATAAAGATGATCTGATAAATGATCGAGTCAATTTTGCATATATATGATTATGTCTGATGTGTTTGCACATGTATATGTCAGCATAGAAAAGCATTGATAATAATTTTTCATACAAATGATCATTATCATCATCATAATGTAAATAACATTGAAATATATGATACTTTTTATTTATGCCATACAATATTATTATAGCATGAGCATATGATGAAGTTAATTTCCCACTATTGCATTGTAAATCATGTCCCGCTTATTAATCATAATGCATGCCCCAAGTCTTGTTATTTATGCTTTATTAAATAAGAATCACTTCCTGAGTTTGAATGTGAAACTCATTTTGGACAACTTTTACCTTAACAGATTCCACTAAATTGTTGAGCATTTAATTCATCAAATATTAAGATGACTATTTTTTAAGAAAGAGAAAGGAGCAAGAGGGATGATAGTTGTTGGCCCAACTTATCCCATACCCTAGTATTTTAGGTAGGTGTATAGTTTTTGGATAAATAGAAAACGATGTACACAACATAAATTAAAAACTTCTGATATGTATTCATATTTCATGAAAGTATAAGGTCTCTACTTTATTTTGATGATTTAAATATTGCATGCTTCAATATCAATAAACATTGAATCTATTAAAGGACAAGAAGTATTTTATGACAATCTAGTCGGATAAATTTTTTATTCACTCGATTATGAGTTGAAGAAAAAAATCAGGAGATGTATGGGTGGGAAATGTGATTGCCTAGATTGCGCATCTCTATTACACCTCATGACTGATTAGAGAAAGGTTAAAATAGAGTGACATATCATGACTATAATATAGCAAAATCATAAACACAAAATAACAGCTACAGAAATTTATTTTTCACTAAGACAACCCAAAACAAAGCATGAGACAAAAAAAATATAGAACGCATTCATACCAGTTCAAAAACTAGGCGTGGCTCAATGACTGACAACAAATCAAAACAGAAGAATGCAAGACTGCTATTCAAGCGTTTTGCTAAGCTTAAGCCCTTTTTGCATCTCTCATGAACCTCTGCTAGAAGGCAATCAAATAGCTGCACAATACAACGGAAGACACCATCCTTTAGCTGCAGTGGTGGAATATCTTCACCTATAAGAAATACAATAGCAATTATGTCTTATTTACTCGGAGGTCCTTATGCTGGCATATCTGACAAAGTAAAGGTCAATAACTTAAACATTTTATACTACAAGCTAGCAAGCTCCTGAAGTGCTAACTGTTCCAGACTAATAAAAATATTAACTACAAAAAACCTTTCTGAGATCCAAATTCTAATGAAGATTTAAGGAAGATAACTTCCAGTTCGTAAGCTTCAATTACTGCAGTATAAGCTAAAATGATAGACTAGAAATACAAGACTGTAGGCAAGTGTCAACGCTATAAAAGTTAATGAAGCTAATGCTCAAAAAGCACACAAACAATAAAAACTTCTAAGGCTATAATATTGTAAGGGTTTCAAACGCCCAAGAGAGGAAAAAAAAAGTATTCGGAGGGACAACAATGCCATGAGAAAATAGTTGAGTCTAAGCACCTGCTGGATAGAGCTCAAAAGATCTTACATGGGATTGAGCTCAAGCTGTAGCTCAACCTCTATTCTCCATGATGTTCAATCTTGGAAATGGGGTGTTTTGAAGACAAAGAGGAAAAAAAAATTCAATTGAGGAGAATAAAGAAGGTAGAGAAAATTATTCCCTCCCTCCCTGGCTGGAAGAAAAACTTCATTTAAGGATTTATTAAACTTTCTGCCAAAAGGGCAGAAAACTATACAAATTAAATGAGATAAAATTCTGATAGGAAATATCTGAGTTCACAAGTAACCTCACGGGTAATACTTGAGTTCGCAAGCAATCCTACCAAGAATCAGCAAAAACAGTGAACAAAAAGGGCTGATCTCAAAAAAATCGGCCCGAAAACAATAAGGATGAAGAAGAGAACACCAAAGAAAGCTTTGATTCAAATAACAACACAAACACAAAGCAAGATACAATTTTCCTTCAATTCGAGAGGAAGGAAATCTCTCCAAAATCTCTAGCAAAAGCTTAGAGCCCAAAAACCCAAACCCTAGATCTCAAATCTCATTCCAATTCCAGATAATCGCTCTTTCCCTCCTAATCCCCTAATTAACAATAATGGAAAAATACAAAATACCTAAACAACCCTTCCATTCAAAATTTTCTCTCCCACCCTTGCATTAAGCCCACGTGGGCCCCCCTTGGACTTCCCCCCCCCTCTCTCTCTCTCTCTCTCTCTCTCTCTTGTGCTTCTTCCGCCAGGTGTAGACCCGGACCGGTCCAGCCGGCCCCTCCTGGGCCGGCGTAACATTACTCCCCTCCAAAAAACTCACCTTGTTCTCAAGGTGAAAGAAGGGAAATTGCTCTTTCACTCTTTCAAATGGCTCCCAAGTCGCGTCGAAATCAGGGAGGTCCTTCCATTAGATCAACACCTCCTTATTGCCTTCTTGATCTGATCTTACCCCCATAAGCTCCAAGAGTTCTAATATCACTTCTCAATCCTCCATCATTGATGTTGGTAACTCGGCGCTAACTGCATGCTCCCCTAGAGCTCTCCTCAGCTGTGACACATGAAACACCGGATGTATAGTAGCAGAGGGGGGTAACTTCAGACGATATGTCACTGCTCCAATCTTCCCCAAGATCTCATTGGGACCAAAGTACCTCGGGGCCAATTTCTCGTTCCTCCTGCTAGCCACTGATTTCTGCCTATAGGGCCTTACCTTCAAGAACACTTTCTCCCCCACTTCATATTGTATGTCTCTTCTGTGTGTATCCACTCGCTTCTTCATTATTTGTTGTGCCCTCTCCAGATGTTTCTTTAACTCTTGCAACACCCGGTCCCTCTCCTCTAAGTACTATTCGATTGAAGAGATGGGTGTGTTTCCCTTTCCATAATGTACTAAGTATGGGGGTCTCTTCCATAAAGCACCTTGAAAGGAGTCATTTGGGACACCGAATGGTACGAAGTGTTATACCAGTACTCTGCCCATGACAATCATTTAGCCCACTTCTGTGGTGTTTCAGAAGCAAAACACCTCAAATATGTTTCCAAACTCCAGTTAACCACTTCCGTCTGTCCATATGTGGATGGTACGCAGTGCTTCTCTTGAGAATTGTGCCTTGCATTCTGAAAAGTTCTCTCCAAAACTGACTGAGGAACACTTTGTCTCTATCCGACACAATCGATTCTGGAACCCCATGTAATATAACCACTTCCCTGATAAATGATGTCGCCACTGACTACGGTGTAAGGGTGTCGTAGGAGGATAAAATGTGCATACTTACTGAGTCGATCCACCACGACTAAGATGACTGTGAATCCTTCTGAGCGGGGTAGGCCGTCAATGAAGTCCATAGACACTTCCTCCCATACTCTGTTTGGAAGTGTTAACGGTTGGAGTAATTCTCTTGGCGCCATTTTCAAGTACTTATTTCTCTGGCACACCTCACACCTTGCCACCATCTCCTCAACATCCTTATACATCCCCTTCCAGTAGAGCTCTGATGTCAACATCGTCTATGTCTTGTGTACTCTTGAATGACCCCCAACTGCACTGCCGTGGAATTCCTACAATAGGTGAGGAATGTGTACTGATGTTCGTGGCATCACAAACCTTCCATGGTATAATAGCCTCTCTCCCTCCAGATAGTACCCTGAATGACTGCTATTGTCCTTCTTCAAACTTTCCCTGATCTTCTTCAACTCTTTGTTCTGTATGCTCTCTTCCTTGATGCCCCCCTAGTCAACCATCAGTGGTACTAAAACTGCCACCTCCTAAAGTTCCCCGACACACCTAGATAAGGCATCAGTTGCCTTATTCTCCACCCCAGGCTGATACTAAATCTCAAAATCATAGCCTAACAGCTTTGACAACCACCTCTGATGCTCCTCGGTCACCATCATTTGCTCCAACAGGTATTTCAAACTCCTCTGATCTGTACGAATAATGAAATGCCAACCCAACAGATAAGGGTGCCATTTCTGATTGGCCAAGACTATGGCCATCAGCTCTCTCATACATTGACTTTAATCTAGCCCTAGTCGATAGCACCTTACTGAAATAGGCTATAAGCCTATGATTTTGCATCAACACTGCTCCTAAGCCATATCCTGACGCGTCGGTCCCCACTATAAAGATCTGACTGAAATTGGGAAGAGCTAACACTGGGACTGTCGTCATAGCTTACTTCAACCTCTCAAAAGCCTGGGTTACCGCCTCTCCCCACATAAAGTTGTCCTTTAGTTGCTCAGTCAAGGGCCAGGCGATGGTGTTGTATCCTTTCACAAACCTTCTGTAGTAGTCGGTCAATCCTAGGAATCCCCTCAATTCTCTTATGTTCCAAGGCATTGGTCATTTATGCATTGCCTCAATCTTTGATTGGTCGGCCGCCACTCCCTCCTCAGAGACCACATGCCCCAAATATTCCACCCTGGACTGGGCGAAACTGCACTACTTTAGGTTAGCCTTCAGTTGATGGGGTTGTAGGATCTTAAGAACCTCCTTCAAGTGTTCCTCCTCCGTTCGGCTGTACACCAAAATGTCATCAAAGAAGACTAGCACAAACTTCCTAAGATGCTGATGGAACACTCTATTCATCAAGGACTGAAAAGTAGCTGGAGCGTTAGTGAGCCCAAATGGCATCACCAAAAACGCGTAGTGCCCCTCATGCTTTCTGAATGCCGTCTTCTGAATGTCCTCCTCCTTCATTCTGATTTGGTGGTAGCCAGACTTCAGGTCCATCTTTGAAAATACTACAGCTCTGTTCAACTCATCTAGTAACTCATCGATCACCGGAATGGGGAATTTATCTGGTACTGTCTCCTTGTTTAGCGCCTGTAATCCACACAAAACCTCCAGCTCCCATGCTTCTTTTTGACGAGTAAGAAAGGACTGGAGAAAGAACTCACACTGGGTCTGACAATCCCTGCCTCCAACATCTCCCTAATCAGCTTCTCAATTTCATCTTTCTGAATTTGGGGGTAGCGATAAGGTCGAACACTAATGGGTGACACCCCGTCCTTCAGAAGGATGGAGTGCTCCTGCTCTCTGGGTGGTGGCAAGCCTTGTGGTGGTTGGAATACCTCTTTGAACTGTTGTATGAGTGGTTGCACCACCAGTAGAATGTCTCCCTCTTCCCCCACACTGACCCTCTCCAAGCGTTGCAGCTCCACTAAATATCCACCTCTTGTATGGATCTGATCATGGATTTGAGAGATATCCTGCCCTAGATAGCCTTGCATCACCCTGGATCATCATCCTCTGTCCTTCCACCATCAATTTCATCCTCAGAGCGCCCCAATTGACTTTGGTCTCCCCTAAAGTCTGAAGCCATTTCATCCACAGGATGACATTGGTACTCCCCAACTCTAAGGGAAGAAAATCCTCCCTCACTTGGATCCCTTGAATGGACAATACCACTCCCCTGCAAACTCCTCTCCCCATCTCCACATTCCCCGTGCCCATCATCACTCCATATCCTCCCGTGTCCACTAATTTCACCCCTAACATATGTGCAATCTGGTTAGAGATGAAATTGTGTGTGGCCCCACTATCGATCAACACCACAACCTCCTGATCCCCTATTTCCCCCTTCACCTTCATAGTGTGATTTGGTGTGAATCCCACCACAGAGTTTAGGAAGACTTTAGCTACGTCTAGATGTAGCTTCTCTTCTTCTTCCTCCACCCTCTCGCTCTCACCTTCCTCCTCAGTTTTTTCGTCATCACAGATAGTGAGAACCTGAAGAGTTTAGTCCTTACACCTATGCCCTGGCATGTACTTCTCATCGCATCTGAAGCACAACCCCTTAGCCCGCTTCTCCTGGATCTCCATCTCCGTCAGTTTCTTAAAAGTTCCTCCAGGCCCCCCTCCTCCTGTCTTCTCCTTTGGCACTTCTCGCGAACCTCCCGGTGCAGCTCCTTTGGGAGCTAGGAAAGTAGTCGTCATCCTATAGGATCCCCCAGTACAACTGCCACGAGCCCCCCTCTCCAAATGCTTCTAGTCCTCCACCAGTTGTGCCAACTCCATAGCCTCCCCCAAGTCACGTGGTCTCATCACCCTGACGGCTGCTCTG